AAGGGGGGGGGGGGGGGGCTGAGATTTTTATTACAAACTATGAACATACACAACGGATGGCTTGTTTACGCATCATCATTCCATGTGGTGTAAGTGTAATATACGTTTGACACAAAAATGCAAAGATTTCAATACAATTCTATAATTTCAGATGATACTCGATATAAATGAAGTTTGCATATTTTCCTCGCTGTTCATCATATGGGATACGCCAATCTGTGTGAACAGTTTGAACTAACCAAAGAAGTCATCATCTTAGCGCGTATGAATAAATAGAGACTAACCAAAGAAGGCATCGTCTTAGCGCGTATGTATGATAGAGGCTAGAATGGTTAAATTTTTGTCTTTTTAAAACTGGTTTCAACCCACGAACTGTCATAACAGCCAACTACCTGCCGTTACAGCTGCTGCTATGGCGTATTACGGTCGCTACAATCAGCATCTATCGAAATTAATGCGGTATTATAAATGCAAAATAAAAAAAATATGTTATTTGTTTTATATCCTTTATGTTATAGCTTTTGTTCCTGGCTGGCTGGGAAATCTTCAGTCGGCTAAATGACGCACTTCCCGTCAACATATCGAGCTGAAACTTCGCACATATTCTCATTACCGATGACAACATCAGCCCCAATCGCCCAAATCAATATTTCAATGGAAAGATGAAGGACATATGAATTCAAGAAATAACATTCACGACAACGACTCTAAATAAGATGCTTTTTTCCCTTTAAATTCGGTTGGTGCGTACTATTTTCTTTTGTTTTTTCTGAAATAGTTGCTGAATAGATTTTGACGTGAACAGCTCGCTTAAACTAGATTAACTTTCCTTTTAATTTTACTGAAAACTGTGGTAAAATAGATGTAATATTGGTTGATTCCCTCCCCCCCCCCCCCCNNNNTTATAATTTACCAGTGTCTCCTTCGAACGCCCCCCCCCCCCCCACTCAACATATAGTGAGCAATCTTACCGCCCACATTTAGAAAAGCTGGTATAGACTTTTTAAAGATGTACGTGCTAGAATATATTGAGCTAATAGCAGTGCTACAATGAGATCAAATGTAATTGTAATAAACGCACGTATAAAGTAAAGACGTTAAGGAAGTGTACCCTACGTGATTCATCGTGGGTTTTAGAGATCATAATTCTTAAGCTAAGGTTGTGGGTCTTAAGTGTTGTGTACGCAGCTTTCCGTTCCATATTTACTGTAGGCAGTTTAGTTGACTTATTTACAGTAGACAGTTTAGTTGACTTATTT